CTCCGCTATTATGACAAAATAATGGACGTATAAGTAGTGCTCGTGCACATGCAATATAAAAATCTCGTTACAGTGTTTACTCAGCGTTCGCTAACAATTATATCATAATAGTCGATAAACAAATTCACATGTTCGCAGCTGTTGCTTCTGTGCTAACTATGCGCTAAGATCCGAAGGCCTTTCCGGCTCATGAGAGAAAGATATGAAGCAATACAATTATGTTCAGTTCATGTGTTCAGTTTTGAAAGGTAAGAGGGTGCTGGTGTAATTACAAGCACATGAGACTTGTCAACTTATGTCTCAGGGTGACAGGCACAGTGGCAGTGTCCCTCAAAACATTTCGATTTTAAGGTCTGAGTGGCACTGCAACTGTCCCCGACAGGCGTGTCGCTTACTGCAAGTTAACGACTTATTCCTCCCGTCACTTACTATCAAAAAAATAACTTGTTAATTAAAAAAAACTTTAAAAGTTTGTGGAATTACATCTGTGATGAAATCGGTTTTTGGAAAGTGCGCGAAACCGGATTCATGTCCTAGTTTGCCACCCTTAGAAATAGAATATTTTCTTTAAATCTAAATGGGACAAATTCTGAGGTACAGTCAAGAGCACGTCAAGCTTGACACTTTGTACTTTGGACCGTTCTTATCGTAAGCGGCATGACTTGGATTTAAATCTTAAGTGCCAAGCTCGACGTGCTCTTAACCCTGTACCCTGTTTGTAACAATAAAAGACTCATCAAAATCGGTCACCAAATGCCGGAGTAATATCGTAACATGCCCAAACAAACTACAATCGAATTGAGAACCTCCTCCTTTATTGAAGTCGGTTAAAAAATGTTATATTTGTTCCCAATCTTAGAGTTGCAGATAAAATATCCTGTATTTAGAATAATAATTTATTTTAGAATAAAATCATCTAGAACCTCCTTCTAACATTAAAGTATCATAGATTTTTGTTTTACAATAAAAAAAAATTTAATTAAAAATCTCTCAATACATATGGTTGAGATCTGTACACCAACTAGAAAAAAACCTGATGGTCTTTAAACAGCTCAGCAGATGCTCATCAAATATAGCTAAGAGCATAGCCGTCAAATAAAAAAAACGGCTAACAAGTCCATTCGTTCGGGTGTTACGATTTCAAACTTCTTTTCTTTCTTTTTGCATCTTGGGTTAAAAAAGACATAAAGAATGATTGGTAGACCCACAGATCATCTTCCGTGGGTAGACCATATCTAACTAGTTTCAGGAAATATTTAGTTGCTGATGAAATAATTTTTAAATTTTCACAATTACTTAAATACTCTATTCAAATTGAATGCCAAAATTAACTATGATACCTTGATTCACTGGCATTGTACATTATGGGTCATTAGTTCATTAATGTATTCTTGTAACTATAGGACTTTCGACGCTTTATCATTGTAATAAGATTGTCGGCCGAGTGAATAGGCAAAGGTCAGGACATATTTCTATGCGTACGCACGCTAAAGCTAAATCTGTCACTTTCGGTTATTAAATGACGCTGTTTTGTCAATAATGTAAGATTCAAAATACTTATTGGGGTTTTGACATTTGCTTGAATTAGCGTTGGACACTGCAGTTTATATCATATTAGGTTTTATTCACACGGCATTGTATGGAACGTTTTATTGCAATATAAATCTTACCGAATAAACTGCCTCTGTGGCCGAAAGGTTACCATGCCGAACTGCCACGCAGAGGTCCCAGGTTCGATTCCCGGGCCGGGAGAAATGTTTGTATGGCTTACATTTATTTCTCTCGTGAGTTTGGGTGTAATTCGCGACACAGGGTTTCCCTAGTGCGGGGCTATGTTGAGTGTGTGCGTTATTTTTTTTATTATTTTTAGTTTTCACGGTGTTTGTACTACAAAAAAAAGTACACCTCTAAAAATACATTTACTCGTATCAAATACTCTCCGGACTTGTCAAGCAAATCGAATAAACTTTGGTTTGCAGTGGTGGCGCATAGTTTACACCATCTCTTTCACACAGCGCAATATCATACGTTTTTTATCGAATTGCGATCGGACCAAACCGTATTTATTTTTAACCGACTTCAAAAAAGAAGGAGGTTTTCAATTCGACTGCATGTTTTTTTTTGTATATATTATGTATAACCCTGGCATTTGTGGACAGATTTTGATGATTCTTTTTTTGTTGAAAGGAGGATACCTTAGTAGTGTTCCCATTTGAAGAAAATATTCCACCTCTAAGGGAGGCAAACCAGGGGATGAATCCGGTTTCGCGCACTTTCCGGTAACCGATTTCAATAAAAATTGTCAACTAAATGTAATTCCACGAATTTTTGAGGTCGGTTTTTTAGTACTCTGTACTGGGACTATTAGTAAACTCGAATTCTCTAAACATTTTGACAAATTGTCTAAACTATTTATAAATAGTTTATAGAATTATTTTTAGACGTCGTAATTGAGTCACTTTTTCACTATTTTTTATTTATAGGATGAACTCAATACCTTTTGTTACACTGAGGACGAACCCGTTGATGTCTTCTATACTAGCATAAAAATTCAACAAAAGCGTAGATCCATCTTAGACTGGTTGTACTCAGGTAGCTGTATAAAGACAGCGGGTATTTATTTTTTAGACGAATGAAAATGTATCGTGTGAATACCCGCTGTTTATCCGTTTAAAATTGAACACTGCAAAAACACGTACAGTAATATGAAATGTGAACGAAGCGTTAGGTTAGCCACGATCTACATTGTATACTATTCTACTTATGTATTTAGCACGCAAATGCCAAATTTCATTGGCATAACAATGCTTCGGTGATTATAACTACACTGACGTAAAGAGGTGACACTGCCAAGTCAACTAAATTTTTGATAGCAGTAGAATGCATAATTATATTTAAGGAAGTTTTTTATGACAAAATTATGATATTATATTTAATGTCCAGTTGAATAATTTTATTTTATTTAGTAGCAGTAGAACTCCTTGTGTAATAGTTCGTCCAGGGAAGTATTATACCGCATCTATTTATGCTGCCAAGCAATAATGTCAGTATTACTGTGTACCGCTTTTGAAGGGTAAGGGTGCTGGTGAAATTACAGACGCATGGGACTTGTCAACTTATGTCTCAGGGTGACAGGCGCTCTGCCAGCAGTGCGCTTCGGATCATTGTGATTTGAAGAGCTGAGTGGAACTGCAATTGTTATGGACAGGCTTGTAGCTTACGATCAGGCGCACGACTTGTTCGTCCCGTCACTTGATATTATATAAAAACAAATAGACATTGTGCTACCCATCGTAGAAATGTAATAAAGGCTGACACATGGCCAACAAAATCTGATTACGTTACTTGCGACACCGCCATTTATACGTCCCATCGTTGGGCACAGGTCTCCTCTTAGGCGAGGGTTTAGGCCATAGTCCGCCTCGCTGGCCCAATGCGGGTTGGGAACTTCACACGTTTCCCGAGGGTTATGAACCTTCTTCGACGTGCAGGTTTGAACACGATATTTCCTTCACTAAAAAGCTCATGATGAATTTCAAATTAAATTTCGCACATAAAATCCTAAACCTCAGAGGTTCGAGTCAGGATTCGAACCTACGGCCTCTGCTTGAGAGGCGGTAGGTCAATCCATTACACTACCACGGCTTTTACTATTAGTTATAAGCGCTGGCCTATATCGTACTCGGATCTTATAACTAATCGAAGTACTAAATTCCCCCTGCACTGGTTCCCCCAACATTCCATTAGGAGCACAGCAGTACTTTTGCTGTAAAAATAAGTAGGACGGTGATACCAGTAACAGGACGACAGAAATCTAAAGACGTTTAAAAGTGATTTTTATATATAAAAACTTTCCGGTACTTCCGTCATAATACAATAGAATAAAGACACTTTATCAGCTAAACAAATGACATAATGTATAGCTATCATATATCTCGCACGTTCTTTTCTTTCAGCTGGCTAAATTATTACACCTGTTTAAATAAACACAACACATTGACATACTGGCATTTTTAAAATTGTTACGCAAAACTGTCATACTTTAAAAACTGAATGCATACATGCCTCTATAAGCAGGGTAATTTGTAAAAAAATTCAAATAAATCGCTCTAAACTGTGTTAACTCTGTGCGGTAACAAAAGAAAGCGCTAGAAATACCAGTCTGAAGTAAAACGCAGGAACGGAGGTAGGAGTCCTTGCGAAGGGCGCTTCCACATTTGAACTTATTACCTTCTTACCAAATACAGATCTTTAAAGTGTCACATAGTATGAAAAAAATGTAATAGTTTATTTTTGGTAAATGTATTATTTTGTAGAAACCTATGTAACAAAAGTTGTTGCTTGTGACGTTGTCATATAGTCCAGCAAGCTTATTAGTATTTTACAAACAACCCTGTATAATGCATATTATTATATATTTATTTTCGTGTTATTTCTAAATACATCCTTTAATATTTCCGTGTTTGTGTTATCGAAATATTTTTTTTTCGAAATCGTCAGCATCAATTCATACAAGACATGATTCTCTTCTTAAATACGCGGGTTTGGAGACTTCACACGTATTTCGAGTTTTGTGCACCTTTTTTAACCCTGCCACTCATAAAGCATGTAATAAATATTGAATACATAGATCAACACTCCCCAAGGCGTCTTGGTGAGAATCGTACACACACCCCTTCGTATCGGAGGTAAGCGTTGTCCCAACTTCAAACTATTTTTTTCTTGTAATAAATCGCCGAAAATATATTTTATTAAAATTACTTAAATATTTACAAAATAGTTTTAACAATGTTGAAGACATCATTTTGCTGTTTTTAATAAACCTTCAGTATAACAAACAGTGAGTATAACGATTAACCAACACAATTAATTAATGGTATAAGTACTACCAGTATACTGTATTAAATAATCATTACATTACATTACCATCAGGCGCACGACTTGTTCGTCCCTTCACTGGATATTTAAAAAAAATAAAAATTTAAGAAAGCATCACTTACTTCGTCCCATCGTGGTCGTAAGGCACAATGAAAACCCCTTCGGTATCAGTTCTCAAATACTTCCTATATGTTATATTTATTTGATACAGATATTTATGAACACTGTACTCCAACGGTTGATTTAAGTAAATTAATAATTTGCCGCCTCTATGTTCAAACCTAGTCGCAATCTCCGTACCCGCAAACGAAACACTTGCATGTGAAACATTCATATCATGAGCGTCCATTTCAATAACTCTGATATTTGGAGCATTTGCGAACACCATCACTGTCAGTTGACAATCGTAGTACGAGCCTGCGTTTATTAAAATGTGGGGATATATTATTAAGTCGTATTGCACCGGGTATACTGTATAATTCAAACATTCCTCGTCCGAAGGAAAGTTCCTTAAAGCACCCCATGATGATAACGTTGAAGCGTTCGTTAAATTTGCTAAGAATGTTAAAAACAATACACTGAGAAACATTTCTGCAAATTCTAAGTTTGAGAAATTTCGCCGTTTTATTATCGTGCTTGCGTACGTCCGTTCGCGACGGTCGCGGAATCGCTTTTCGTATTGGAGAGATCGAAACTTGGCTCTAGACAGAACGACCAAATTAACTTGGCCTCTGTTTTAGTTCATGTTTCGATCTCTCTTGAATATATTAAAACAAAGTTATACCGTGTCGTGGGTCGTTAACTGCTGGATACACAGGTGCTCTATATTAGTGAAGTTGTATACTGTGATGAGTGGTCCGAGACTTGTGTTTATGTTTACATTGTTGAGTTCGCAAAATAGAACTTTGACTTTGGTGAAGTTCGATGAATAATCATTACCAAAACATTTCGATTTATATTGCAATATAAAAATAAACTCTTATTGAAATACAATACAGTGATTGTACAGGAGGAAACCTTAATGATTTTAAAGAGTTTTTATTGCATTAAGCCCGAAGGTGGTTGATTCCACTCATTATACAAAAAACGTTTACTATAAAGACCGTTCCTAAATGAGCTGTTTGTTATGTTACCTTCTCGACCAAACTACAAAGAACATCTAATTTTTTTTTGGTAATATCCTAGGCCTCGTCTTTTCTTTTTTCTTTTATGAAAAAAGAAAATATGTGACGGAACGAACAAATCGTGCGCGGTAAGCGAATTTATTAATGGGTGGTATCTTCCCATTAATAAATTCTAATATAAATACCTTATAGCCGTGGTAGCGTAATGGTTTGACCTACTGCCTCTCAAGCAAAAGGTCGTAGGTTCGAATCCGGGCTCGCACCTCTGAGTTTCTCGGAATTTATGTGCGAAATTTAATTTTAAATTTATCATGAGCTTTTCGGTGAAGGAAAACATCGTAATGAAACCTCGGAAAACGTGTGAAGTCCCCAACCCGCATTGGCCCAGTGTGGCGGACTATGGCCTAAACCCTCGTCTGAAAGGAGACCCGTGCCCAGACATATAAATGGGTTGATGATGATGATGATGATGGTATCTTCCCCATTCGGATGTAATGCTATTAAAGTTGATTATTTAATTTAAATAAATAATATTGAAACCATTTTTCAAGAGTCATGTCAACTTATTTTGAAATCGAAAATTTTATATTGATGAAATTAAATTATACTTTTCGGATCTAAATCGCGATTAGGTATTTATTTTAAAAAATAATCTAACGTTTTGGGCTCTGTACAGGTCCTATTGTGACGGCTCACTGAACTGATATTAACTATACCTACTTAAACACTTTTACCATGAAACGAATTAACCATATTCAATTATTAGATATTGCAATACACAGAGTAGATAACGTAACATTTTGACATCAATATATGTATTTGAAATTAGTAAGTTTGTAAGAAAATACAGGCACTTATTTGGATAAGAAAGTGATAATCCTTATGTAGCTAATTTGAGAACGCGAAACAAATTGATTGGATCTTTTACAAATTTAGAAATTGTTAGCTCGGGTGCATACAATATGGCAATAAAAGTTTATAACAAAATACCTTTTAGAATAAGAAACATTGAAAATAATTGCGTGTTCGCAAATGCACTAACAAGCTACTTGCTCTCAAACTGAGGAGTATTTCGATAGTAAAAGTACATGATATTATGTGTATAGTATAGTAAGTTGATTTTTTAGAAGTTATATTTAGTATTAACATTAGTATTAATATTACTATAGTGAAGTAAGTTAATTGCAGTGCCCTTACAGGATTTATGTTGGAATGTAATAATAGCTTTAAGACCTTTTGTATCACATAAAGCAATAAATGATATGATGATATGATACATTTTTTACGTCAAGGAAAATGTAGTGTAGGATGCCGTCCGGCAAGATGGATGAACGACCTTAAAAGGACTGCTCCCGTTCTCCATTCGACATCCATCCGGAACAAACACTGTCAAATGAAAGAAAGAAAGAAGAAAGAAAAGTAGTTTATTTGGTAAACTTATGACAAAATATATATAACAGAATGATAACAAAAATAAAATAATGTTATGATAAATACAAAATAAAATAATTAGATTTAAAAGTTACCAACATGGTCTCCACTGAGCTTTTTGTAACAAGACGTGTGAAAACACCTTGTTACACTGGTTTTCAGTGAAGCCGATTATATAACAAGGATGACGATGTCGCTTTGTCCGAGCAGATAAAATAATAAAAATAATAATAATAAAACAAAAAAAAATACAATAGACTTATCTAGGCGTAAATCAAGGCTTAAATGCAATTCAAAAAGTAAAAAATAATACTATAAAAATGGGTGTACGTGTAGAGTAGGTTGGATGTGATAAAACCAAAGCTGATTGTGCGTGTATTGTGGTCTCATGTGTATGTGGTTGGTATATAAAAACTAACAGTAAAATGTAGAAAGCACAGCACGACTGCCAGTGTAGTTAGTTACCTGCGAAAATAATTAAAATTTCTTAAAAGATGCTTTGAAGGAGACAACAGATTTGCAATTTTTTATTAGTGGTGGAATGTCGTTCCAACATTTCGTGGCAGCAAAACGGAAGCTACCACGAAAGGCAGCCGTGTATAAAGGCAAAGTAAATAAGTAATACTCGACTAAATAAAAGATGCATGTTGCGAACGAAGCTTCATACTTGATTTTGCCTTTTGATCTGGTCGAGTGTTACTTATTTGACAGTGTTGTTTCGGATGGCTGTCGGACAGGTAACGGGAGTAGATATCCAGGACCGGGAGAGTTGCGTGCTCAAGAGAAGGTTTATGTTCATCAGTGGATGCGTGTAAGCTGATGACACACACGTTTTTGAAAGTAGGAGTAGAGCTTCTTGTGAAGAGTTCTTTTTTTATATAAAAAAAGGGCGCATTGGACCTCCACCTCATCTGATGGAAAGTGACGATGAGATTGAGGATGTAGCATACACACCTAAATAAAACTCTTGCCTTGAAAAGGTCCAAGTTATAGCGTTCGGGGAACAAGTCTGCAGGTAAGGAATTCCACTCCCTAGCCGCTCACCATATAAATGTAAAAGTGAAACGCTTCTAGCCAATTCGGAGAATATCGACAACATAGGGGTGGAATCGCTGCCCACGTCTAGTCTCCCGATGATGGAAAGAGGAAGGCGGAATCAAATTATACAATTCCATCGCGCACTCTCCGTGATATGTCCTGTACAATACCGATAAGCTGGCAACTCTACGGTGGTGTTCAAGGATCTGCAGCTTCTCCTCTACTAGTTCCGAGTTTCGAATACGATATTTTATTTACCTCGACGTTTCGGACGTGTTGCAACGTCCATAGTTTCGAAGACTCTGAAGAGGCGGGTGTGTAGATGTTAACACCCACCTCTTTAGTCTAGAAAGAACGTAAAAAGTCTTATAACGTCGTTGCAAATTTAATATCTCATATGTGTTAAAAGACGGTTAAAAGTAACTATCATAGAAAATGAAAGAAGTTTCTTCTGTAAGATTTTCCTGGTATTTTTGGAGTGTTTTTGTTCTATTCTTTTATTTGGATAAACAATAAAAAAATGTATAGCAAAAATGTTTCAGTATCTTTGAATACGCTTTCCAAATATTTACAAAACTTCTTGTCAACCAAAATGACACATAAGAGGTTTTAAATTTGCAAAGAGGATAAGAATTTCGATGTACCTACACTAAACTTGATTTTGTTTATCATCTTTACATGTTTCAACAATCATTACGCTAAATTCAATACAATATTGCCAACAATGTTCAAATTGTGTTAGCGTTACTTTCCCCCCAAAAGATGGGGTAAGAGGAAAAGTCATCGCATATCTCATATTCCCAAGATTTCATAACTGTCAAATTTGCTTCTTCCGAATTTTGAATTAGGAGCATCGTAGCGACATCTCTTTAAAATTGTTTAAACTAATTTGTTTGTCTGGTTTATCAACTGAGAGACTACAGTGCTAAATGTGTTGACACCAATAAATAAAAAATAAAAAATGAGTTAAGGCTTCATGTCTCTCTTCCACGGTGTTCTTCTTACCCCATCTGACCCTGTCTACGTATATTTTGAAAGAGTTCGTCCAGAATAGTACTGCCACCTTACCTATTTCTGCCGCCAAGCAGTAATGTGAGCATAACTGTGTGCGTGCTTGTGGAATTACCGGCATATGGGACTTGTCAAGTTATGTCTCAGAGTAACGGGCGCAGTGGCAGTGTCCCTCAGATCTTTGCGATTTAAAGCTCTGAGTCGCATTGCAACTGTTATGGACAGGCGTGTAGCTCGTGATTAAGCACACGACTTGTTCGTCCCGCTATTATAAAAAAAATGTGTGGAGTATTCCACTCCATAGCCGTTCTATGTATATAAATTCATGGAAGCATAACGCTTCGTGCGAAACATTACGCTTGGAATATCCACAACATAGGGGTGGACCTCAGCCTACGTCTAACCCGATGATGGAAAGAAGAAGGCGGAAGTTAGGTTATCACAGTACATTTCTGAAAACGTAATTTAGGTTAAAGATAATAGAATATTTGTCACGAAAAATATTGATAAACGTAATTTCAAATACGAGGAACAAAAATAAACTTCACAAGTCTATAAAACAAATTCTTTTATACATTACCTACCATAAAAGAAAAAGAAGTGTATACGCTTCTTTAAAAATATTCCTGTGAATATTCAAAATTTGTAATACTGGGTTTACAATTTTTATTATGCAGCTTCTGCGAACTAGGATGACAATCATATCCGTTTAGCTCTTTCATGCTATTTTCTATGATATTTAAAATAAATATTTCAAATGTTAAATGTGAAGCAATCTCTTCTACAAAGAGTAACCCCAAGAGTTTCAGATTTAAGTAGTAGTGTTCTATCAATTTCACAGTGCGTAATTTGCTTATCTATGAAATAAAGATATTTTGAATTGATTGACAACAATATAGTATTGAAACCCGGCGACCATGAACACACCTACTCGATCAATCGTCTTATTATAAAACCGTGTAGTATATATTGTACTAGTACAGAATAGAGAATAGTCAAAAAGCGAAGGAAATGTACCAGAATGGTAGCAAGCGTAGATTCATGGTCTCTGCCAACCTTAATTGATAGATAAACACTTCATTCATTAATATGATACAAATACAGATTAAACACAAAAGTAAACACATAAAATTATTGGTCATAGCAGAGAAAGGGCGCTGACTCAGCATAATAAGCCACTTATCTAGGCGCTGGTTTTCAGTCAGCACCAACGAGAGGGATTTATTTTAAGATTATTTTAAGTTACATTTGAAATAAGCCTCTTAGCACGCTTCTCTATTGAATCCAGAGTGGCCAGTTGGTATTTAGCTGAGCTATCCCATAAGTGACAACAGTACTCCATACACGACCGGACTTGTGCTTGGTACAGCTGAAGCAACTGTCCCGGTGAGAAGTATCGCCTCATCTTGGAAAGGATGCCAAGGTTCTTGGCTGCATTTTTGGCCTTGGATTCAATGTCTCTATAGGACGACAGGTCCATTCCAAGCAGAAGACGGAAGAAGACGGTCGGCTATCGGTATGGATATATCACGAAAAGTCGGAGTCAGGTGAAAGGAACTCCGTTTAGTGGAGAAAAGACGCGTTTTGGTAACATTAAATTTGACAAGATTGGCATCGCCTCAATCGGAGATTGCCTTAAGTGTCAAATTAATAATAATAATAATAATAATAATAACGCACACACTCGACATAGCCCCGCACTAGGGAAACCTTGTGTCACGGGTGCCATGGACACACATAGGCAACCACAAATTACACCCAAACTCACGAGAGAAATAAATGTAGGCCATAGAAATATTTCTCCCGGCCCGGGAATCGAACCTGGGACCTCTGCGTGGCAGTCCGGCATGGTAACCGTTCGGCCACGGAGGCAGTTCAATTCAAACGACGACGAAACGGAGTTCGTCCAGAGAAGTACTGCTAGCGTGATGTGAGCAACGAGTAAGTGAATTGCGTTCAGCAAGTCGATTCAGAACCTTACGATAACTCTGTTGTCGACCGATTCAAGATAACGTATGATTTCTTTTAATTTTTATTCACAATAACCGAATCGAATGTCAAACTGTCGTATTCGAAACCGAACCCGTATGACGTCACACACGTACGATAACTCGCATTTTTCGACCGGCAAGGGCTACAAACGTTATTCAGAACACTATTATAGAAAGTTACCGAACGTCCCATTGTTTACAAAGTAAGAATTTAATATGGAAATGTGTAATTATTTTTAATAAAGTCTGGATTTTGTTCAATTTTATTATTTTATTTTAATGCAAAACTAATGCATTCTTAGATTTTACGACATTAAAGACTTAAAAATGCATATAAAGGGATTTTCATTTTTCTTATTATCGATTTCACCGACTAAATCCGTAAACGCTGTTGGATAACGATATCGTATCCGAATCCGAATCGAACATTTAACTCGAACGTTCTGAATAGCTTGGTAGCCAATCAAAAAGTTTGGTTAAAATATCGGAGAGTTCTGAATAGAGGTCCTGATTTTTAAAGGTAAAGGTATTAGTGAGCGGCACTCGTCAACTTTAATGTCTCAGGCTGACAGATGCTGTGGCAGTACCCCTCCAATCTTTGCGATTTCAAGTTCTAATTAGCACTAGTAACCCTTATGGGTAGATGTATCGCTTACCGGTAGGCGCACCACTTATTCGTCCCGTCCATTGACGTGATAAAAAATCCACTTAAAAATATATTTACGGTGTGGATATAGAAATACTAATTTCAAAATTCACACCTTGACTATCTCATAATAATTTAACCGTAAATATTCTAACAAAAACGTCACATTTAAGGCAAAAATCGGGATCAGTCTTTGTTAGTTACAGTATACCTTATACATTTTTTTTGTTTGAATTAAATAGCTCTTTACTTGAGTCCATTGAACTAAAACGTGCGCGTGGGCACAATGCAGCTATCGTCTTTGGACAATAGGGGATCGCCTACGTGCATAGTTTTGGTTTTTTTTAATAATGTTAAAAAGTGTGTTATGTTTTTGTCAAGTGTTTACTGTACTTTTTCATGTACGAAACGATTTTTTTATACACATTAAATTACACATTTTCAAGAGATAAAAGGAACGTACAGTAACATTTAATTAAAGCTATATTGTAGACGTTTATAAATATTTTAGTGGATTTTATATAATATGTAATATATAATATAATTTTGTATAATATATAATCTTAATTACATTTTGTACTTTTACCTAACACTATATAAACCACTGAAAGCTTTCGCTATCCGTCTATATAAAAATATATAATTATATTATTATTTAACATGAAAGAATGTTAACATGTATGTTGGAGGTTAGTGCATAGTCACACTAGTGGTATTCCGACTGCATTTCTATTTTGTGAATGTAGTGCTATTTGGATACAAATCAGGCAACTGCACGACCATTAGATCCCAACGTTATCACTGCATTACAACTGCAAAATATCTGTTGGAACTCGTATGACTACGGTAGGTTTCATGAATGACGTCAATCACTACTCTAAGCGAACCGGCAGTGGGTAAACGAATTTAATTTTACACATTTAATCCTTTTCTTAAAGTCCATTTTATTACTGCAAGTAGGACACAAATTATTGAGGTACAAATCTTAATCCGTGAAGCATCCTAGAGACACACAGTGTCGCTTAAAATTTTGATTAAAAACAATGTTTTTCTCAATAATTTCATTTTTTTTATTTAAAAGGTTTTAACAATTTGATATATTTTAAGTTTTTAAAAACTTTTAGAGCGATTACACACGGCGCATTTAGCAGCGGTACAAACGCGATGCAGTAGCTAATCGTCTACGTTTACAGACGCGCGCGATTTTAACCAGCGATACGCGATACAGCGAAACGCGATGCAAGCACAAGTATATACAAACGTGTGATTACATCGCTACACTTGGAATTTATAGGCGATTACATCGATGCAATTGCGCGTTTGCATCGGTGCAATCGCGCCTTTGTATCGATGCAGTCGCGCGTTTGCATCGCTGCTAAAATTCGCCGTGTGTAAGCACTCCTATATATATTTTTAATATTTTTTTAAATGGTGGGTGAAAACACAGCTACGCATTAGTGATATCGTGTGGCACTAGGGCACTACAGTACCATGATCGTTACAGACGCCGTGTGTCTCAAGGGGTTGTGACGAATTGAAGGCTGATAATACAAAGGTTATTATGAGAAAGAAGCTATAATTCCTATTGACGCGATTTTTTTACCATAAAAACACACTTCCAGGTGTAAGTGGACTAATACTTGTAGAAAGTAATAAAAAATAAAGCAAGCGTAAGTAAGTTAATTGATGGTGCTATAAACATGGCGTTGTTATTTAAAGTTGATATCACATCTTCGTTGTGACCGGCTGCCCACGTAGCGATGTTACGAGACACTGAAAGGGCATCACGCGCCGCATTTCGTGCTTCTGTTGAGCATTTGTTACAAGATAATACCCAGTCTTCGAACTGAAACGAAAAAATGTATTAACTTTAGAATAACATCAATTGATCAAGCACACATGATTACTACCTTTTTTCTCAATTCGTGTGATTTTTCTTTCCCAAGTGATAGGATGAACAAGTCGTGCACCTGGTCGTAACCAAACGCCTGTCCATAACAACTGCAGTGCCGCTCAAAGCTATAAATCACAATGATCTGACAGGCGCTGCCACTGAGCCTGTCACCCTGAGACATAAATTGACAAGTACCATGCGCCTGTAATTTCACCAGCACCCTTACGCTTCAAAACCGAAACGCAGTGTAGTGCTTGCATTACCACCGGGCACCCTTAGAGGTGAAATATTTTCTTTAAATTTAATTTAGTAATGATAATAAATTTAGAGGCACCTCTTTTTCAACTAAAGAAGAATAATCGAAATCGCGTAACATTCACACAAAAAAGTATTAGTAGAGCTCCTTGTGAAAGAGTTCGTCCAGGGAAGTACTGGCACTATATCTATTTCTGCCGCCAAGCAGTAATGTCAGCATTACTGTGTTTCAGTGTGATGAAATTACAGTCACCTTGGACTTGTCAAGTTATGTCTCAGGGTGACGGGCGTAGTCGCAATCCGCCTCAGATCTTTGCGATTCAAAGATCTGTGTGTAACTTACAATCAGTCGCACGACTTGTTCGCCCCGTCACTTGATATTATAAAAAAAGTTACTAAGTTTTCACGATTGTTACACATTGGAAATAAAACTATTTTTTAAATTGTGCATATTTGTTTTTCACACGAACCAAATAAAAAGTTTGTTTCCATAGAGGGTGTAATGTCTATAGAAATAGATAATGTGTACATCTATTTCTATAAACATTATACCCTCTATGCTACGCAGGGTTATTTGTAAAATACTAACAACCTCACAGGAATGTTATTACTTACTAACATTATAAACAACAACTTTTATTCCATGACTTTTTACAAAACAATAAAATTACCAAAAAGAAACTTTTAATTTTTTTTGTACTACCTGACACTCCCCGACGACCCCCACCCCGCTACTACGTTTTGCATCGGACTAGTATTTATGCTAGCGCATTCTTTTGTCACCCCATAGAGTTATTATAGTGTACAACGCTCTATTTCAATATTTTTATTTTTGTATGAAAGTAAAATCTGATGTAGTCCCCAGTCTCCCTAGTGCGGGACTATGACTGTGTGCGTAATAAAAACACAACACAGCAATACTGCTTTGTCGTAGAGATAGAGCGGTGGTGTCTATCCAGCTTTTAAGTGAATAACCGAACTTCTACTTAAAAAGCGTAATATCATTAGTAGTAATATCATAATTGTTTTTTTGTCATTAAATGAATGTAACAATTAACGTAAGTTGAATTAACCTTGACTAAATAAAGCTGATATTTAGGTCTATCTAACAAATTAGTCAAATAAATTTAGACTCTCGTCATGTAGCGAATTACCGAAAATATAATTGCTGTTAACCATACCAATTATTTAGAAAAGTAACTATGTATATTACTATCCATACCCGAATAGATACCATTTACTGTCTACATGGAAGGTATTGATCGAGGACAACAAAACACTAGTTGAAATATGAATAAAAAACTATCTTCTTCTTATAGAGTTCAAAAACTTCGGCGCTATCAAAGTTTTTGAACTCTATACTATCTGCCTATCGATAGATCACGCGTATTAACTCCACATTTAACGTACAAATTATATCCGTGCTATTTTGACAAAGCGAAGTAAACCTGTATAGATGAATATGTCCTATAATATAAATCTCATGACAGTGGACAAACAAAAGAGTACAAAGCCAGTAACACACAGACATAACGACGGACAGGGGGGCTGATAGAGAAACAGGACAAAACTGTAAGGATATCCATTCTGAAAATTGCACACAATTAACACCTTTATATACCTATATCAGTTTCACGGCGCAAAGTGCTGCATTGGCGGAAAAAAAGTATATTGTATGAACATTTATCTAAACAAATTTTACATTATACATACAACACTATACACTCCTTATACAACAACTATAAAAACAAATTGCCAAACAAATTGTACATTACGTAGACATACAAGACTAAACATATTCGATGCAGACATAGCTGTTGTTGCGCAAAAACTGTATTTTTAAGGTTAATTTTAAATTAAATTGAATAGAAATTTGCAATACTTGTGTTTTTTATAATGCCTAAAAATGTTATCTTGTCGGTACGCATAATATAGAAAAGATTGTATCTTTTTAATATTTCTTATTTAAAGAATGCTTAATTTAAGACCAATATTTAAATTTAAAGCTATATCTTTTTATCGCCATCGACCACTGTTTACTTATATCACTTAATTTTAGCTGCCACCAACTGCCACCTTGGATATGAGGACACATTCAATAAATGCCCTCAAAACCAACGATGTATCTAATATTGAAATAAATGTTTTAAACGAAATTTTCTCATTTGTAACAATAATTATTAATAACACCTAAATATTTATTTCAGGTTTAAATACTCTAAAAAACCAAGTCTTGTTTTTCCATGAAAAACATAATATTTTTCACGGTGCCATAAAAGTGCACCACAAGGTGTTAATTATATATATATTTTTATTATCACAAAAATCTTTATTTCATCCTTATAAATACCCTCAAAAAATCCAATAGTCTTGCTTTACTATATAAACATAATATTTTCCGTTGTGCCATACAAAGCGTAGATAATGTCGCTGCATATTATTTTAGCAACGACTTGTTTAGAATACTAGATTCAGTGTTCATGCGTAACATAGGAAATGAATAAAGATCTAACCCCAAGGCCAGGCAGTTTCGATTTGGAATCGTGCCAGCGCATTTTCATTACGTTACACCTATATAGTCTAGGTCAAGGAATTAAGGTGAAATTACGTAATGAACAAAATCATTATCTCTATGGCATAATAATCTACATTCCTATATAGTAGGTAAGAGGTAAAGGACTTACGTCCAAAATTAATTTTAATTTAGATGTTTTTACACATTGCTTTAGAATGCTGAAAATCACGCAATGGTAAAAGACTCAATCTCCTATTGTCGTTTGTTTTTTTTTTACATATTATGTTTGTCTTTTAGATTTCTTCTTTAGCATTTCTCATCGAGACGTAACCATGCCACCCTTTTCAGGTCGGTCAATGACTGGACAATCTACACCTCGTTGTCGGTACGCGGTTAAGTCTTAATCTTTTTTATCGAACCTCGCTATTATTCCCTGAACTATCATCCAATATGTCTGAACTAATTGCCTGACCCTAATGATCGAAATCAAACAGTCTGGCTCGTTACAAAGCCCTTGTTTGACGAGCCCTGTCCACAATGCTAATGGCGCCGATCGAGGACTTATGTCAACAGGCTTTCTGCGAATACTAATTGCATGTACTCATTATAACCTCTGTTCTATTTATTTCTGGAACTATTCACGTAATCGAAGCGCAAGAAGTGAAGCAAGCGAAGCTGTCATGGCACACACTCAAATTGCACAATCTAGGAATATTTTTTTTTTATTTCAATGGAGTTATTCGACCGTTCCTCATGAAATTTGAAACTAGGATAAGTAATACAATGGTACAGATCGTGATAAAGCCCATGGATTTCGATATCTGAACTGAGGCATTTGAGATAAAAGGTCACGAAATTTATTAAACTTATGTGAAAATATTGAATTGAAAATTTTGTGCAAATATGCAGAACATTGAAAAAAGAAAAATAAGAAAAGCGAAACAAAAACAACTGCTCCGCTTCAATCTATATTCAGCCTAGTTATATACAATAGGTATCTAATGTGAGAAGAAGAAGTCAAGCGTATCACAACCGGATTGTAGATTTCGATAAATTTGAAGCTTTACAGGACATATGCTCAAATAAATTTTAAATGTTCTATGTTGAAGCCTATTCTGATAAGTATAATTAATTATACTTACTTCATTGATTTCAGTTTCAGTGCGTAAAGCAGATGCAATGGTGACAAGCGGTGATTGCATAGACGGATATCTATAAAAAATTAGTTACAGTACTTAAAATGAGAAGTTTGGCAACGTAACTGTTCGTAAATATCTAAACAATCTTCAATTAGGAAATGAAACTATTTTTCCGGATTTAAATCGCGTATATTTCTTTTTTCAAACAAACCAACGTTTCGGGCAGGTCGTATGGTCACGGTTGACTGTGAACCTTTGAAAAAACAAATATACGTAATTTAAATCCGGAAAAATAGTTTCATTTCCTATATGTAACAATCGCGAAAACCTAAGAAATCTTTAATTATTTTGCGTTCGGACAAAAAGTGGGTAGTCTCGTTGACAGATCGCGATAATGTCACCTACTGAAATATTCGGTCGAGAAACCGCTCGCCAGGAAATGTCTTAACTACGTGCTGTACTTATGGCGTATGATTCCAAGTTGTGTTTTTGGACAACAGCCGTTATTTAAGTTACTTATTTATTATCAAAAACTTATACGTACATTGCGTTCCAAAGGTCCAAATTCTTCTTTACTTCTTCTAGAACCAACTGCACGTTCTCATAATAACTGAGCACACCATTGAGTGGTACATCGCGGTCCTGGGTTCTGATTGGACTGTCTTCCTCCTTCATTGACACTAGAAAACTAAAATGGAAAAATTGTACGGTGAAATTACTTAACAGTACTAAACATCCCAGACTAGATATACGTACATGTTGATATTTTTCTTCCTTGGGTGATTACCGAACCTTCAAGTCACATACTGTAACAACTCATATGCTGCTGGGTACTGGGAGGTGAATACCTCTGGTAAATATAGATCAACTGCCTCCGTGGCCGAACGTTTACCATGCTGGACTGCCACGCAGAGGTCCCGAGTTGGATTCCCGGGCCGGGAGAAATATTTGTATGGCCTACATTTATTTCTCTCGTCACTTTGGGTGTAATTTGAGGTTGTCTATTTGTGTGTCTATGGCACAGGATACAGATACAGGGTTTAGTGCGCGGCTATGAGTATGTGCATTATTAGATAGGTGCTTAGGTGAAATTTCGACATCCAAAACATAAGTCCTTGAGAACGAGTAAGTTAGACTAACTGCAATATTCAAAACCAGAATGCAGTAACCTGCATTCAGGTTTTGAAGGGCTTACCCTTAGGTAGCAGCCTTAGGTGCTGGTGAAATTACAGGCACATGAGACTTGTCAACTTATGTCTCAGAGTGACGGTTGCAAAGGCAGTATCCTTGGATGTTTGTGATTTAAAAATCTGAGTGCAACGTTCTAGACAGGCGTGATACCTAACACAAAGAGCACGACTTGTTCGTCCTGTCACTTGATATGCAAAAAAAAGTAATTTTATATATTAAATCTATGTAAATTTGTTAGTAGGTACACTTACGCCTTCAATTTTTCCTCGTTTGTAGTACAGCTGAGGGCATCAGCAATAACACGTGCTTCATTAGCTACGTTAGTGGTCGCCATACGTTTCCATAAGAATTCGTAGTCCTCACCATCTCCGCTTCGTAGACCTTGGCAATAAGCTACTGGCCTCAGACTTGGTGTAATTCTGGGAAGAAATGTGGCATTTCTAATTAAATATATTTTGTTTGAAGGAAAGACGCTTCAGACATGTTACATTATATCTTAAAGAATTTTATCAAGCTATTATAATTTTAATTTGTAGAAAATCTATTTTTATTGAAAAACGAATAAATTTCTTTTCCCTTATAAACAGCCGCTTTATTCCTTTTGTAATGAAGTTACATAACACTGTACTGACCCTTACAGTGTATTGGTTTGATACAATAGAGTTGACGATTTAACGTTGACCCGTTAGTCTTGGATATTTTGTCATTTCCTCGCATTGTTTATTTCACAAAATTTGGTTTGTGACAAATAGGTCGTACCCGGGAAAGCATTATTAGTTTTTAAATATTTTAAAAGACTTGGTATACTGAAAACATTTATATAAGAACGTAGATTTCAATTATGATTTATGGTTAGGAAGTGAGGACATAACGTAAATTATCGTTAGATACGCTTTGAAAACGAATTATTTATACAACTTCGTGTATTTTTGTTGGCTCAGCGCCTGGTGGCTTTTTAATGAGTCCATTTATAAAGCTTATTGCACTTTTTATTATGTTCTTTAAGTAATAA